ACAAGAGATTGCAGCGGAAGGCAATGCCCTGTTTTCAAGTTTGTGGACCGGGTTGCTATTTGCTCGCTTCTTCCTGCGTCGTTGTAATTGCGTTACAACGTCAACAACGTGGGGGGAATCTCGTTAAAAAATGTCGGCTTGAAAATTACCTCTTTCACATGACTTATTACTTTGAAATAAATTTCATATAATTATATATGACTTAATCACTTCAGCCCAATCGGATTCTTCGACCATTGCTATTGTTGCAAGGTCCTTCACACTGAAATTTAAAAAAATTTGCCGCTGCATGCATGCACAAGGGGAAGCTGCTTGGAGCTCTCCATCGGACCGACATGAACAAAAATGAATTTTAAATATCTTAAACTCACGCGAGCTCAACAAAGATGTTTGCCATCTGGATTGTTTGATGAGATGATCTTCGAAAAAAAATCTCGGGCACGATTACGTTGCGTTCACAATGTTGCTGTGTCTGTAACTTTTGCGTATTCGAATGAGAAGAGAAATCCTGAGACGGAAAATATTGGTGGCAAAAGTGAAGAAATTTGAACCATGTCGGCAGTAATTTACAGTCTCATGACTGGAAACGACTTGGATTTTATATTTATATATATATATATATTTTCTTTCTTATCGCATGGAAAACATTTGATCGCGCTTCAGTACTTTCACCTTCGGCTCAACGGTCAAATGTCAAAGCCAAGGGTCAATCACCAAAATGAAGGCCACCACCTAAACACATTCCAGGAATATAAGGCATGCATAATATCGTGCAGAGTGAATATGGCTTTTTTTTTTTTAACCCGAGGAAATCGTGGATGCATTGGTCGGCAGTTCTCCGCAAGCTTTTGCATTCTGGTTTCACGCTTTCTGTGAAATCTCCTGAGGCCTTGAATCATTACGTTTCCGGATCGGTGCTAGTTTTTGCCTTTTTTTTTTTTTGCTGGAGGAAAGCCGACTTCTGTCCTAGTGACTTGCGTTAAGTTTTCTCAGAAAACGATCCATCTTCTTATTAATGTTAAATAATTAACATAATTACATAATTAACCGCAGGAATGAGACGGACTTAGTGACCTTCCTTTCCTGAATATATTTCCTTCCAAAAAAAAATTTGGAAGGAAATATATTCAGGTAGCAGAAAAAGGAAATTAGAAATTCTGGAGAAAGATTGGAGATGAATCGTATATGAGATGAAGGATGAGCAAGAATGGTTAAAGAGACATTCGGAAGCTTTTTGCAAATTCTTGGAATTGTTTGCCGGCAAACTTTGTCGATTCCTGGAAATCGTCATATGTAGTTCGGTTTGGCGATTAATATCTAATATCTCTGTATCTTTTCATTCGCTTCACTTTCTCTCGGCCCGTCTGGGAGGCCGCCGCGGCCCACTGGTGGGTCGAGATGTGGGTCGCTGCCCTTGGATCGTGTTCGGTCTATATGTTCGCCTTTCGGGTCTATTTTCAGGTCGGGCCCGTTTTCTGTGCAATGGACGGAAAAGATGCAGGTAATAATTTGGTGTGTTCCTTCGTATGTCACGATAACGTGAGCAACAAATTTTTTTCTTTTGACGTTGAGAAGCTACAAGAGTTCTCGTATTTTCCTTCCGCGGTAATAATCGTAAATTCGGAATGACGCAATTGCAGGATAAAGCGGAAGCGCAACAAAAGAAGTGAGTAACGAAATGAGTGACACTTATTACTTGGAGCGTGATACACAACAGCATCAGGAATAAAGAGCATTAGGATGTGAATAGATAAAAATATATATGTATAAATGAAGGGTGAAATGGATTCACCGACAAAGAAAACTGCTAAAAGTGGGAAAAGAGACCTTGGAATGAAACGGAGAAAGAAAAAAAGATAATTTAGAAACCATTCCACGGAGAGCCTGCGATGAGAAAAGAAAAGGATTTGGGAGGCAAGTAACAGGGAGAGAGAGGAGGGTAATGGGGGAAGTTTCTTAAACGCTCCATTCATACATCCCCTAGCGTCTCTTTGCCCCTTTCAAGAGTCTCCTTCCCACGAGCGCTTCCAAGGGATTGCAGTGGAGAGGGATGGGAAGGCATTGCCTTCCAGTTGTGTGCGACGCGCGTGTTCTCCTGGCTTTGAGCTGATTTTTGTCGTCATCGGATGCACGCAGTTTTCTCGTCTCCTCGAAGCACTGAAATGGGACCGATCCACGCTGCAATCCTGAAGTAAGGCAGGTAAAATAAGCAGGATGAGCTGAAACGTTTAAGCCTGGTCAATGCCAAGGTCGTATCAGCCGAGGTCTCATATTAAGCCTAATGCACATTCAGCGACATGAAACTCATAACTGATGCACTGGGAGCAAAAAGTTGCTCGAGCCACAAAGCCGAAATTCCAATCTCGAGAGTGCAGGATCGAGTACACAGCTCCAATTCATTATGGGTCAACGCTATCATCCGGCTTGCTTCGTGATGAGAGTGGAAGAAATATATATTAGTGTGGATGAATATTTGAAGGAATACATGTTTGAGGGAATAAATATTTGAAGGTATGAATATTTGAGTGGTCCCATGGGTCACTGCGACAAGACGTCAGAGAATTTGCTTCACAAATGCGGTAGGAAAAAAAAACGTTGTCTTAATCCTTGGGAATAGAGGGACAGTAATTGGAAGAAAACTGAAAGAAAAGGGCTTAATTTGTTTTATTTTTGCTGTGGAAAACAAATTAGTTCGGTCTTCAAATGAAACTACATTTTATAAGGTTGAGGGCATTGGTTACTTCATTATCACTTAGGCGGGACGAAACTTTTCCCTCATTTTCCAACGTCCAACGTATAATATTTTGTCTTGCTGATTAAACTATGGTGGACGCGTGCGCACAAATTCCTCCCGGCGGCTCGAGAACTGATACAAGAGGGTCTATTCTGCGGTTTGCTTCCGTTTTTTTGCTAGTCCATGTTGCTCTCAAATTTTAATATAAAAATGTCAATAAGCTAATAATAATAATAAGTATATCCAGGGTTGGTTTCATGAAGGCAGACAAGAAAACTGCCCTGAATAAAAGACAAAAGATTAAAAATTTTGGCACCTAGCTAAAGACCTTTGGTGCAATAATTGACCTTTGCTTTTCAAGAGACGCAAAGGATCGGAATTTTTTTTGAAGAATATAAATTACATCCATTACACCCATTGTGATCTCAGGGATCGATGAAGTTCATTACTTTTATTTATTTTCCGACGCGGTGAAATGGATCTTGGGTAACCTGATGGTGAAGTTCCTGAGCGCGAATGCCGCAAATCTGTCGACTTGTCTCGCCCCGGGCAATTTAATCGAAATCGAGCGATTTAAATGTTTCTTACTTTTCATTCATTCTTAATTGAGTTCCAGTCGATTACCGTTTTTAACAAAGAAGCCCAAAATCTCCCGAGATTTCTCCACCGAAAATGATGGAAGCAGAGCGTTTTCCATTTAATGTCACTCTTTCCAGCTGTCACGGGCAAGAGCACGGTGACAAACAACGAGATTATCCCTGGGATCGTGCCGCAGATCGATCCTCTGTCATTTCTGAAGGGAAGCAGGAAAGTGGAGGTTCATCTGCCTTCTCTTTCCGCTCCGTCTGACTTCCCTCGTTCCTGCTTGGCTATTTGTGGCTATTTGTGGCTTGGCTATTTGTGGCTTGTTTCTGCTTGGTTATTTGCGACATGTTTCTGCTTGGTTATTTGTGGTCTTTGTGTTTCAGATCGTGCTTCGAATATTCCATCCAGTTGATCGTCTATGTTTCTTTTTTTTTCAATTCGCGATGTGGGGAATGCAGCAAAAGATTTCTCTTGAATATCTTTCTGTTTTGCAGTCATTTCACCAATTTGACTAATTTGCAGAGATGTATTCGCAGCAAAAATGCGAAACGATGTCGAACACGCGAACGCAGAAACTGAAATGAAGAAAAATGTTATGAAATGGTGAACATGGAATTTAAACAGTGAATGATACAATATCTGATACAATATCACATTCAATATCTGAAAAAAAAGCTAAAAATAAACGAAATTAAATTCAACTGAATGGTCGCCCTGATTTCAGGAAGTATTCGCCAGCGTCACATGCGCAGGTCGCTTCCTTCATATTTTCACTCTAATGGCCACAGCGGTCACGGGCGTGACCTTCACCTTTCACGTCCCACCTTTGGAGGGGGATGGAGGAACAGAGAAATCCCATGAGAAGGGAATCGGGGGTGGGGGTTCTGAATCCCCCCCCTTGGTTGCGCCACTGCCTGAAGCAGTACATCGGACTCGCCGAGAGGTGGATAAAAGATGGATAGGAGATGAATGTTAGACGGACAGTGAACAGGTGGACGTAAGACGGATAGAGAGGTGGATGCAAGGCGGATAGAGAGGTGGATGTAAGACGGATAGGGATGCAAGGCGGATAGAGAGGTGGATGTAAGACGGATAGAGAGATGGATGTAAGACGGATAGAGAGGTGGATGTAAGACGGATAGAGAGATGGAAGCTAAGCGGACAGTCGAGGGATGGATGTCAGGATAACAGTCCAGGGAAGATGCTGAAGCGAGCTTGAGGAGCTGAGGGAATGGAGTGCGTCGAGATGTTTATGCCTCGTCTCTGGCCCTTCATAATGCTGCCTTCTTTTGTTTGTTCTGTCCTCGACAGGGGCCTCTTCACTCTCTTGATTGCTTCCCTGTTACCCTGTTATCCTTTCATTTTCCTCACACATCTTTTCGTGCACTGCGCTACATGGGGGGGGGGGGGGGGGTTGATCGGCGCTTTCGCTATTGAGACATTTCGCGGGATATGCACTGTTTCTTTGCATAAATGTGTGGCATTAGATATGCGGGTGTTTTCTGCTGGTGAAGTGCATGTATGTGATTCACATTACCACTATCAGGATTCGTTTGTAGTTGCAACGACGCACGTGATTGCTTAAAATTTGTGAATACAAGGCAGGAATAGACCACAAGAGCGCCGATAGGAGAGACCGCGTGTAGCAAGGGCCGGGCCGGCTCCTACGGGAAAACCGCAGGTGCCCACCTCTTGGCTCAGTGGTGGCCACTAGCCTCCTCTCGTATTCCACGTGCCTGATCCCAGATGGGTCTGCCGCCTCGGCGAGACTCCTGTGGGACCCTCCACCGGTTGCCCTCCCACGTGAGGAGTGGAAGGCATGGCGCCCACCGCGTGAGTGCACGTGGTCGCCCCGCTTAGCTCAGTGGGTCGCCCAGACATGGAGGCAGGAGGACGTGATCCTCGCGCTTCCCTCTCCAAGATTTCCCACGACGATTTCCAGACGGGGAAATACGATGACGACGCGAGGGGCTTCCTGGCCGATCTGCAAGGAAGTAGGCGCTTCGATCCGGGTCGAGTTTGGGCTAAGAGGGGGTTTCGTAGTTTCGAGGCCTAACGTTAGGATGAGATTGTTCAAATTTTGATTAAATGCTTGGCCTTTCGGTGACTGGACGATGCTGGGAATTGTTATTTATTTATATGAACTTATTCGTGTTTCATTGTAAAAAGAATATATGAGAGACATGAGGTCGTGGGCTGTGGTGAAACTCACCGTTTGTTGTTTAGGGTTGTTGGTCTTTGGGCCCTGCAGAGTGCCAGGCCCAGAGGTAAAAGGAATTTAATTTTCTCTGAATAGGCTGGGATTTTCTCTTTTGACTTGTGAAATCTTCAAGTGCATTGTTGATGAAGCATGAATCAGGGATTTTCATCTCCTTGGTGATAGCAGGATGGAAGGGAACTGGTGCAAAATTCCTGAGTCTCGAGGGCAACTTGAGCCACGGTGCGAGTTTTTTACTCGGTGAAGTAAATGAGTAAATGTGCGGTTTTTGTCTGGTGGCGATGCAAGGGCTTGTGCGTGGCTTTCAGATGCTAAACTTGAGGAGATGAGACTCCAGGGAGCAACATCTTTAACTCTGTGACTAGCCTATTCTACCAAAAATAACAATTTTTGGAGAAGTAGGCCATTTGGAGGGAAGGGGTTTAGAAAGCGTTCGTTCTCGACTCGGCGTCTCAGTTCGGGTGGAAGTGCCTCGTGGCCTAACCGGGAGTCTTTGCGTTTCTTTCAGAGTTCGAAGGACTTGCTGCATCTTGGGCCTTGCACCCCGAGAACATCTCCGGGGATTTCTCTGGCTTGACCGAAGATCAGGAGGAGCTGAAATGGCTCGTCGAGGAGACCGTGTCTCGGTCCCCGGAAGGGGGGAAGGACTCCCTGAGCCTCGCGGTCAAGTCCTGCCTGCACCGGGTGCTGGAGACGGTCTTCGCCGTCGAGCGGACCCTGGAGACGAACGTGGAGTTCCTGACCCTGCGGCTGGACTGGGCCAAGGCCGTCGTCGACATGCTGCTGCTCATCGACAGCAGCGTCCACCGCGGTGCGCTAAGAACCGTGCTGGGGCGGCTCTCCATGTTCAGCCAGAAGATGACGGAGTGGAGTCTGCTGGGGAGCAAGGAGGCGATCCTGGAAGACGCGATCCTGGACAACTGCGTGCCGCTGTGCCACGTCTTCCTCGAGGGGAAGTATTACATCCGGGGGACGATCAGGGGCTTCATCGAGTCGTTCGCCACCGACTGGGCCGTGCGGCTCGCCACGGGCGGAGACGTCAACAAGGCCTGCATGGTTCTCAGGAACACCGTGAGTCGTGATCGTGCATCTGTTGTACTATCGCGTTTCCCACGTGATATAATGGTGCTATTTGGTCTGGCCATGTCTCTCAACAGGGCTTGGAGCCATGGGAAACTCTGACAGATATCTGGAAGCGGTCCGATGATTCTGTGGTCCGAGAAGAACTGCGTGATCTTTTTCAACGAGAGGCTCCTGCTGGAGTTTACAAGGAAGAAGATGAGCAGCATTTCCAGATGCTTCAGTACTTATTGAAGACAGTTACCAAGTATGAACTCAATTGAAAAAAGCAAGCTTCTGCATTTATAAGATGGTTTCTTTGTGTGTCCACATTCCATTTCTCATGTCTCTTCTAGCCCCGAAACAGTGCGGAATGTCACGTTGCAGACGCTGGAAGGACTGAGCGAGGAAGAGAAGCACACGCTCCTCCTCACTCATATCCCCTGCACAGGTCTCTGTTTTCACCCTTCCCCATTCTTTGAGACTATGTTGGGCTGGATATCATGCAGCTCTTTGACATTGAGCAGGTGAAGGCATGGTGAAATTTGTGCCTGGAGAGGCCATATGGCAATACTTGGTGAGAAGTGGCGACAAGGAAACACTCGTGAGGTGGATCACGACCGCTTCGGAAAATGCAGTCTTTCCGTTCTGCACGAGAATCTCTGAGGACATGGTGGAACTCGCCACGTCGTCTCAGGAAGCTCGCTGTGCACTAGCAAGGTTTGTTTTCTGTCTATGTCCCATTACAGGGGTAGAGCTTTGTAATAGCTTCAATTTGGAGTGGATGTGATAAGAATTCCTGTTATTGTCTTCAGTTCCAGATTGCTTAATGCTTTATTCTTCATGGGGTAGACTAGGGGTGTCAAACTGGCTGTCTGCAGGCCAGATCTGGCCCACAAAGCCCGTTTCAATGGTTATGGAAAAGTATTGCAAATTTTAGCCTGGTTGCATTAAAAATCAGGTGTTACATTTTTGTTGTGGCTCCTAATCACTCCTGAAGGCTTCCATCTGGCCCTCAGTCAGATTGAGTTTGACAGCCCTGGTGTAGACAAAAGATGCCAGAGTCAGAAAACAGAATGGTTTCAGATCAACGTATTTTCTCAACTTTGAATTCTGCATTCTGTGTCCAGNTCTCGAGGGCAACTTGAGCCACGGTGCGAGTTTTTTACTCGGTGAAGTAAATGAGTAAATGTGCGGTTTTTGTCTGGTGGCGATGCAAGGGCTTGTGCGTGGCTTTCAGATGCTAAACTTGAGGAGATGAGACTCCAGGGAGCAACATCTTTAACTCTGTGACTAGCCTATTCTACCAAAAATAACAATTTTTGGAGAAGTAGGCCATTTGGAGGGAAGGGGTTTAGAAAGCGTTCGTTCTCGACTCGGCGTCTCAGTTCGGGTGGAAGTGCCTCGTGGCCTAACCGGGAGTCTTTGCGTTTCTTTCAGAGTTCGAAGGACTTGCTGCATCTTGGGCCTTGCACCCTGAGAACATCTCCAGGGATTTCTCTGGCTTGACCGAAGATCAGGAGGAGCTGAAATGGCTCGTCGAGGAGACCGTGTCTCGGTCCCCGGAAGGGGGGAAGGACTCCCTGAGCCTCGCGGTCAAGTCCTGCCTGCACCGGGTGCTGGAGACGGTCTTCGCCGTCGAGCGGACCCTGGAGACGAACGTGGAGTTCCTGACCCTGCGGCTGGACTGGGCCAAGGCCGTCGTCGACATGCTGCTGCTCATCGACAGCAGCGTCCACCGCGGTGCGCTAAGAACCGTGCTGGGGCGGCTCTCCATGTTCAGCCAGAAGATGACGGAGTGGAGTCTGCTGGGGAGCAAGGAGGCGATCCTGGAAGACGCGATCCTGGACAACTGCGTGCCGCTGTGCCACGTCTTCCTCGAGGGGAAGTATTACATCCGGGGGACGATCAGGGGCTTCATCGAGTCGTTCGCCACCGACTGGGCCGTGCGGCTCGCCACGGGCGGAGACGTCAACAAGGCCTGCATGGTTCTCAGGAACACCGTGAGTCGTGATCGTGCATCTGTTGTACTATCGCGTTTCCCACGTGATATAATGGTGCTATTTGGTCTGGCCATGTCTCTCAACAGGGCTTGGAGCCATGGGAAACTCTGACAGATATCTGGAAGCGGTCCGATGATTCTGTGGTCCGAGAAGAACTGCGTGATCTTTTTCAACGAGAGGCTCCTGCTGGAGTTTACAAGGAAGAAGATGAGCAGCATTTCCAGATGCTTCAGTACTTATTGAAGACAGTTACCAAGTATGAACTCAATTGGAAAAAGCAAGCTTCTGCATCTACAAGAGGGTTTCTTTGTGTGTCCACACCCCATTTCTCATGTCTCTTCTAGCCCCGAAACAGTGCGGAACGTCACGTTGCAGACGCTGGAAGGACTGAGCGAGGAAGAGAAGCACACGCTCCTCCTCACTCATATCCCCTGCACAGGTCTCCATTTTTCACCCTTCCACATTCTTCGAGACTATGTTAGACTGGATATCCTGCAGCTCTTTGACATTGAGCAGATGAAGGCATGGTGAAATTTGTGCCTGGAGAGGCCATATGGCAATACTTGGTGAGAAGTGGCAACAAGGAAACACTCGTGAGGTGGATCACGACCGCTTCGGAAAATGCAGTCTTTCCGTTCTGCACCAGCATCTCTGAGGACATGGTGGAACTCGCCACGTCGTCTCAGGAAGCTCGCTGTGCACTAGCAAGGTTTGTTTTCTGTCTATGTCCCATTACAGGGGTAGAGCTTTGTAATAGCTTCAATTTGGAGTGGATGTGATAAGAATTCCTGTTATTGTCTTCAGTTCCAGATTGCTTAATGCTTTATTCTTCATGGGGTAGACTAGGGGTGTCAAACTGGCTGTCTGCAGGCCAGATCTGGCCCACAAAGCCCGTTTCAATGGTTATGGAAAAGTATTGCAAATTTTAGCCTGGTTGCATTAAAAATCAGGTGTTACATTTTTGTTGTGGCTCCTAATCACTCCTGAAGGCTTCCATCTGGCCCTCAGTCAGATTGAGTTTGACAGCCCTGGTGTAGACAAAAGATGCCAGAGTCAGAAAACAGAATGATTTCAGATCAACGTATTTTCTCAACTTTGAATTCTGCATTCTGTGTCCAGTCGAGGGCTATTTCCATCTGGAGCCCGCAATGACTTGCAGACCCTGCTGACTCTGGTGTGCGAGATCTCCGCTTTCTCCCTCACCCCAACCCCTTTCCATTGCGAAGGGACTTGGTACCCTTGGGATCTCTTTGTGGAGAACCTCACTTCCTTCATCGTGACAGAACAGCTTCAGCCCGTCTTTCCTCTTGTCATGGCTGCCCTTCACGTGAGATCTCGGGGCTCAGCCACCCTTTTAGTTGATGTGATTCCCGTATTGCTCATGTGAGGGATCCACTTGCCATTTGATGATGTCCTTCCTGTTGTGAGACTGGGTGAAGTAAATCCATTGCTAGACATTTTCCTGGAAGTGGAAAAGAAATCCTTGTTTAAAAAAATTTGGGTACCCAATTAGGATGGAAAACTTTAGGCTGGGTCTCACACAGAGCAAGATGGGCTGATACACTTTCTATACAGCATTGTCTTGTCTGCTTGGTGAATATTCTTGGTGGAGAACCCTAATTTATCTAAAAACAGCAGAGCAGCCTTTACATTTTGCTTTGTGTTGAAAATTAAAAGGCAACCATAGCACAAGAAAGTGGAATTGTCAGTTTCACTCTTATTGAATGTAACTTCATTGAATGTAGCACTATTGCTGGCACTTATTGAACCCGTGTTTCTGATTCATTAGAAATACGGGAAGTTTCCAGAATCAAAAGACATTCTACCCAAGACTGCCAAAACATTTCTGGCCTCAGCTGTGAGGCTGTGGCAGGACGAGGGGAACCCCGAGGCCCTGGCCAGCTTCATCCGCCATGGATTCCTCCACAAGAGGGAGGAGAAGTGGATCGCCCCGCACCTCCTCGCGCTCGGCCTGCTGTGTCCTGCGCAGCCGCAGAGCCTCGACGGGCAGACGTGGAGAAGCGTGAATAAGTTCAAGGGATTCACCCAGGATGGGTCTTCCTCGCAGCCGGTCACCCTTTCGGAGTTCCTCCCTCCTTTGCCTCCTTTGAAGGACATGTGAGTCTGGCTTATGCTCTTCAAACATTTGGTATACTTGTGGTAATTTTTTACTATGTTTACTTTATATGAAAAAACTTGATTGGACGTTAAGCGAGGTGGTTGTTGTATACGGCTTTTCTCCTTTTACAATAATTTGGTTCGTCAAGTAATCAAGTAATTTCATTGAAAGAAAATATGCAACATTTTACCATTTAAGATTGTCGCCTGTAATATTAATTGGTCTAGGTCAGTTTTTGTGAATCCTTTTTTTTTTTTAGTATTTTTTTTAACATAAATATTTCTGTTATGTGACTCAACATAATGGATTTTGAGATCATTTTAATGGGCTCTCGAGCAGATCATGCTCCTTGGCGGAGCTGGCCGGTCACCGATGGAGCGCTCCGAAGCCCGGGAGACCCGAGTTCTTCCTCGACAAGGACCGACCTTCCTTCGCCTTCCTCGCGTCTCTTGTGACTCCTCGGTGAGGACGATTTTTTTTGTCTTGTAGGAGTGTCAAAAAAGTTTTGCAAATAATTTTCATCTCAAGAACCAGAAGCTCTACAATCATGTAGTTTTTCATTAGAAGCCTTTGTTTTCGCTACGTCAGGATTAATATGGTTACAAAAGGGAAATTGTGTTTCTGTTCTTCACCCTTTTTATAGGTTCATTGACATTTCCTTGGAAGTTTAGTGGAGGCACATGTTAAGTTCTGTTTTAGGCCGGGGAATGCTGTAAAAGGGACCGAGGATTTGCAAAGAAGCTCGTTTGAGCAATGCGTCATCAATTGCACTTTTGTACAGGTGATTCAAAGAGTTCCGTGTTGGCGGAGATAGCACAGACGGTGAACCCGTTTTGACATGCAACCAAGGTTCTCTGAGAAACCTCAGTAGCATCGTATTTTTGACCGATGTTGGCCCAATTCTGCAATATTGTTCCAACATCTTGTGCTACTTTGAATTTATTATTTGTTTAATTTCGCCTTCATTGCTTCAGTTTCACCGTCACAAATTTAAACAACTCACACGCTGTTGTGAGCTCTGGTGCATTATTCCCATGCACAATGTTGGGCAAATTGTAAGTCTCTATTATTCGGAGTAGCGTTTGCCCAGCACTCCAGCTTTGTTGTGTCAATGGGGATATGTCACTGGAGAGAGAAGCATTTAGAATTAATGGTAATGGTAATTAGTGGTAATGCATTGAATAGCATTACCACTTGTGAGATGAAGACAAGGTTCTCGAATTACAAATGCCTAATATTGTGATATTTCTAGTCAATGAGGTATAAACTCATTTGCAAATATTTTATTAAACAACATTTGTTTATGCAGCGGTCCCTCTGGTAGCTCAAGGCGTTGGTCACAAGGTGACTGCAGGGATTTGGTATCCCTAATCCATTAATCCTAATCCCTCTCATTTTGAGAGGTTCTGTATTCAACTTTCCAGTCCTTTCTGGACTTGCCAGGTTGTGCAGGAGAAATTGTCCTGTGTGCCGGTGTCATTGCCTCTGGCCAAAGTGGGAAAAACGTGTAAATAATGTGCAAGATAATTAAATTCAAGCATGATTTGATGGTTTTTCTCCCCTCTGTTTACAGTGATTAGGACAGGCACTGTTTGATGGGACCAGTGAGATAAATATTGGTCATTGGCTCTATGCTGTCATTTGTTATTTCTTTTTGGATATGCAGGCAAATTTTTCCTGCTGGTAAGGAAACTGCACAACACAGAAAATTCATGCATTATTTTTCTTGTCAGTGGTGACGGAGGACTCAACCTGCACAGCTCTCAATACGAATCCCAGGTGACTCTGCGAGCGTTTCAGGAAATGTGTCGGCCCTCCGGTCCGTCCGGCCACGTCGTCCCGGTCCCACCCGTGCCGCACGGTGGGTCATGTGCCTGTCTTTCAGAGTTCTGAGTTTTCTAACTGAAGTAGAATATTAGGTAAGCATTTTAATTTTTTGTATTTTTGGGGAATGCAAGACTCTGGGTCCATGTGAAGGAACAAGCTAATGTATATTTTAGGATTTTTCATGAAGATTTTTCAAATTTATGATGTGATGGATTCACTAATTAATTTTTTCATTAAAAAAATCATGGTTTTTGCCAACTCTGCTCAAGAGGTTTCCTTGAACAAATTCCTCTTTCCAGTAGTACTTCTTACTAGTACTTAGTTGTACTGAAGATAATCCATCTGGTTTGTGTTGTGTTGAATAAAAAGTGGGTGTTTGTTTCATTGTCTTTTTTTGCTGACTCAGCTGTTCAGTTGCTGTCAGCTTTGACTTGGATATGATTTAGTTTTGAGAAATGTGAAGCTGTAAAAAACTTGAAAAATTTTTGAGAAAAATGTATCAAATTAATAAATTTTATTTTCCTTGTCTCCTGTAGAAGTGGGAGATTGGGGAAATGTGTCTTGGGAGGAGATTGCTATCGACTGCGTTCGATCTCGGAACCGGCTCCCCCAAGTGTGCCGCTGGGCCGCATCTCGGAACCATTGGCCGCTTCTCGTCTCCCTCTCTGCCGTCTTCTCCTTCCCGCAGGATCAAGTAAAAGCCCTTTTCTACCGTGGCAATTGTTCTGAATCCAAAATGAAAAGTGTGGGAGGAAGGCCATTTCCCTTCCAAATAGTCAATTTGAGGAATGGAATGTGTTGAAAAGCTGAAAAGGACAGAATTTGACCTTGGAAGAAATTTAAATTCTCGAACATTTCTGTAATACCATAATCATTACAGGTGATAGAGTGCTTGAAGGAACTGCCAAGTCGAGTGCTGGGAGAGAACTTGGAATTCGCCCTCGGGATCCCTCTGAAAAGTGAGACGCCTTCCGCAAACACGTCTCGTGGTCGGCTCTACTCGCGGATCGGCGTTTCTCCCGAGAAGGTACGCCTGTCCCCTTTGGGTGACTTCTTGCATGTTAAATGAAGCCATCAGAATTGTGGAAGTGGGGGAGGGTGACATTGTTTGAGACATTTTCTCCAGAAGTCTCAGGCTGTTAGCAGGTGACAGCTTGCACACGCAACAGTTTTGCATGTTTCCATGTCTTTTGTGATGAATGCCTGTTTTGGTGGCATCTGGGATTGCCTGTCAATGATGTCGTTCTGTGTGGCAGCAGCGAGGACGAAGTGATTCGAGGCAATTGCACGTACGCCCCATTGCGGAATGGATTCCCTTAGCGATCCAGAATTTCTGAGTTGATCTCTTGAGACCCTGTTTTTTTCTTTTGAGAAAAGACTCAAATTTGAAAAAAAATTGAAATGTAAAATAACAATTTGAAAATTCAAATATATTCATAATTTCATATAAAACTGAATGGATTACGTCACATTGCAAACAGGGAAACAAATAAAATACATATTTACTCATTCTTGAACTTTCAGCAAATTTTTCATTATGAAGTATGACTAAGAGGAGCAAGCAACTTCTTCGCAGTTTCGTTTGAGTAGTCCATTATATGTGACAAGTTTCCATGAATTTTCAGCAGTTGCCAGTGGCATTATCACAGAGTTACAGTTTTCTATTTTTATAACTCTTAATTTGCAGTAAAATGGAGTGAAAATCTTTTTACCTGCCTCCAGAAATGGTTGACATTCCTAGCAAAGAAGAGATGACTCCATGTCCGATTGACTGGACACAGAGGCTCGAGAGGCTCGACTAGCAATGCGGCACTGCTAAGAAGTGGGGATTTATTTTGTTGCAGAGTGTATCTTTCAACTTACTGTGGGGTTTTTCCCCAGCATGCAGGAATGTTTAATTTGCAGAGATTTTACCTGTGAAGTTTTTCTTAAATTCCCCGTGCGAATCCTTCCAGCTGCCGGGCTCGGGATTCGGCAGTCCTGGCTCCAGCGACGCAGGGAGCCTGTTCGAAGAACTCGCCTCGGACGCGTCCCTGGCGAAGCCGCGGATCCCGGGGAGTCCGTCAGACCTCTTCGCCACGATTCTCGACGCCCAGCACGACCCTCGTCCCGGACCCCGTCTCCTTCGACTGACCTTTGACCTCAAGAATCCTTTGCTTGCAGTTCTTGCAACCTGCTTTCAGGTCAGTCCACCTGAGATGTTTGCTTTCCTTTTAGAGCAGGTAATTGGCTTAGAAAACTCGCATCTGATCTATTGCGATCGATAGAAATCTCATTAAAGTGGGACCACTACGCATGGAGAAAACCCGACTGTCCTACCCTCTTATCATTGTTTACTGGGCCCTTACTGGAAGAGCTGAATCTGCTGGACCGTTCCACCTGGAACGATGAAGTATGCACCAGTCTCTTTGTGTTGGGGTAGAAGGCTTATTGTAATTGTAACTTTGTATATTTCTTGTTGAAGAAGTTAAAATGAATATGTGGCAATCAAAATACATTGGCCAAATTAAGCTAAAATTGACTACTTAATGGCCAGACAATGGTTAATGACTTGTGGCAATCCTGTTAGGTGATGAGAATCTGCAAGTGGAACAAAGGCTGCATGCCATGCATCTCTGCCATGCCCATTAAGTTGGGGGAGGGGATTATTGGAGTCTGCTTTTCATCTTTGTGACTTTAGCCGTGACATCGAAAGGCAAATGTGAAGGAATTGTTTGTGTGATGTGTAGAAAAAACTATGAGGCTGAACTGGGGAACTGGGATTGCTGCAAAAATTTGTCTCATTTGAGGAGGGCAAAAAGACTCCACGATTTAAGTTCACTAGTGAACCAGTTAAGTAACTAAGTTACTTAGTTAAGTTCACATGCCTGTAAATCATGAAAATAAAAATGGAAAATATTCATCATGCCACACTGGTGCTAATAGTGAGACTTTGCAAACTCAAATACGAAGTGCTTCCCCTCAGAGGTCCAGGGAATCTGATTTCCTTATGGTTCTTTGCGAGATTTTCAGTGCAAAATCATAACCCTGGGGAGTAGTCTTTTTCTGTGTGAAGAAAAATCTTCTTCTGTACCATCTGGACTCTTTCATTTACCACAACAATGTAAATTTTTCATATAGTTTCCATGTACTGGTTAGTTTTTGGCATCACTCTCAACTTGCTTTCTCTTTTTCCCTACCTGTCTTCATTCTGACTTGCTCTGCTGACTTCATTGACATAGCATTTTGTCATTTGAGTTGAAAACTGTATTGAACAGTCAGCAGTAGGCAATGTATTTTATTTTCAGGATTTAATTATGAGTTTGCCTTCACAGTACCATTAACAACCCACATGGTTGATGCAAAAAGGATTCTGCTGCGAAGATTGTAGTCTCTTTGAGAGTCAGTTTACTAAGCTTTCAGTATTTGTCAGCCTGGAAATGATGCCAAGAATATGGGTTTGCATAGGATGTGGATTGGGTGGACTGTGCATGCTGCTGGCTTGCGGCCTCCTTGGGTCTAGAGAAGCCGGTGGAGCCGTGGGGCTGGGCCACACTCACTGACCAGTGTCGTCTATGCGTCCGCAGGGGACACTTGAGCACGCTTTACGAGGCGTTTCGAATCTTCCTCCATGTGAGCTACTTGCAGTCTTGTGACTGCTGCTGCAATGCGCTTCTGTGTAGGACTGATTGCAGGTGGATGTGCTCTCAGGGTTTGTCTGCTTATGAAAATGATCATCTGTTTCATAGAAAGATAAATGTAATTTTATGTGAATGGGAGAATTTAGCACTTCTAATCGAAAATAAAAACCATGAGCAATATAATGAATAGTTTGAAAGAATGGGTACTGCCTTGAGATGAATCATGGCCTGCATGAGCTGTGAGTAAACGAGTAAATTTTCCTGAACCAACTGCAAATTCCTGCATGAGATAAAGTACTGCAAGTGGAGGGACAAGGAATGTGGGCAATGGAGAAATAAGGTATCCTGGTGTCTCACAATTAGGACTATCCATTGACAACCACAATCCAGTACCTGCAGGACTTCTCCCTGACGAGGACCGTTTCACCTGGGTCCCCCATACCTGTGAGTGCACATTTGTCTGGTGGCCTTTTGGGTGGGTGGATGTTGTGTGACGATGAGATGTTCCAAGGCCGAAGGAGGCAACCTGTCGAAGGAAGAGGAGGATTGCTGCTACCAGATCCTGTTGGAGTTCCTCAGCCATGAGTGTTTCTCATGGGAGGAGTGCTCCACGCTCCTTGCTTCGTTCCGTGACATTCTTCCTGACCAATCTGCAGGTTGGATCACTTGTATTGTTATGCGTTAAGTCTTGTGCATGATTCTATATTTGAAATTTTTTACTTTTCTAGACAGGTTTACACTGGATTCTAAATCCAGTTATGGTTCTGGTACAAAGTCTTTTAGGCTCTAAGACTTGGTAAGATCTATGCTCTGTGGCAGCTGTAACTTGTGTGACAAAGAATATATTGGCTATCGGTAATCCCTCCTGGGAGACAATGTTTCATGCAACACTTTCTTATGGAGAGCAGAAATGCTGCCTGGGTTGTCAGATTTTTATTTTCTCTGGCTTTGGAAAATTTTCAACTGGTACTTCTACTGTCTCTACCAATGCCATTGCATGTCTCTGCAATTCTCGAAAGGTTTTCAAGTTTTTTTTTTACTTTGACATCATCTAATTTTTCCTCTTTTATATTTTGTTGGGGACTGGTACTGCTTTCAATTTTTGCATATTTTAACACCGATATGGTTCATTTAAGAGGCTGAAATTTGCAAGTAACATCTGTCAAAGGATCTGTTGGAATAGATTAATTATTTGAATCACGAGACAAAAGATGAAAACTAAAACTTTCATGCATTTGAAAGAAACAGGTTTCTCAGAATTCCTTCATTGCTGAACTATTTTACTTGGGTCAAGCCTGCGATGTTAAAGGAAGAAGGTTCTTGCACCTTTTTACATCAGAAGTTTGAGTTCANTATTGAGTGATTTGCAATTCCTGGAACTTCTACAAAAAGCTGTTGGTGATCACCACAAGATAGCCTCTGCAGAAGATTGACTCATTCGTTCGTGGGTTGGCATTTTCAGAGGGAAGGCAATGGAATCAAGCATTTTTTCTTGGACTTTGAATTATGTTTATTTGTCCCATTTGCCTAAGGGCAGAAAGATACATCTGATATTGCAGAATATCCTTGAGACTGGTAATTAAGCTTTTTCTCCTTTTTTCTAGGATCATCCAGGTTTGCAGGATGTAGCCTACACTTTAAATCACAGAAGTGCTAAATTCAAGTTGAAAGGTTCAACTCAAGTTGAGGGGCTATATCCTACAGTTTGCGAATAATTTTTCTATGAGATAAAATTTCCCCCTTGTTAGAGTGCATTATGCAGCCATGAGACATTGATGAGGATTTCCCAGTCCCATTGAAGCTGCATTCTCTGGTCACATTTATCGCTTGATGATCTGGACTTTTTTGCTCAATCAGACCTGAAAGAGCTGGAGAAGCTGAGCTCATGTCTTCACTCGTGGGACACGAGTCCGCAGGATCACCCCGATCTCTTTGGCTCCATGGAGGCAAGGAAGGAGAGAAGCCAGGAGATCTGGCATCGGTTTCTACAAGCCGGGGACCTCGAGCGAGCGCGACGACTCGGCCGCATCTTTGGTTTCCCGGGTGACCAGATCGCTACCGTCCAGGTTGTTCTTGTTTTGTCATATTTGGTGCACAGATTTTACGGGAGTGAGTGGAATTGAGTCTGTTGTGCAGATCCTGCGGAAACGGGCAGTGTTGCCGGAAGGCACCTGTCTCAAGGCGTGCCTGCAGTTCTGGATCGACGAGGTTCGGATCCTTCCAGCCACCCTGATTCAACAGGATCTCTCTCATCTGTCTCCATGGGAAATGTGAGCTTGAGATGCCTTTAGCCATTCTCTTTGTGAGTGAGGATGTAAGACTTGTGGAGCCATTTGTGCCAAACTCATTGTTGCTTTTCAACAGTGAAGGTGATTCAGTAATACTCTACATAATTCTTGATGTGGCCAAAGCCATCATGCAGGAACTCAATCTTTGGCATTTCCTGGAATCTGCTCTCAGCAACCCCTGCCATGGTGAAGCTCACGAATAATGCATGCATGTGGGTGGGGCTTCTACGGACTCCACTGACATGCATGGAAAAGTGCACTGTCACGCTAACTTGAGCTGCTGGAGGAGGATTGTAACAGTCTTCCTTGACCAGAGCAGATTTTGGGCAAGATTCCTTGCAGTTGCCATTGAGACTGATTATGAAAGGCAGAGTCCCCCTCCATGGAGTGGCTACAACATGTAGGAAAATCAATACAGAATTCATACCTTGGATTTTAAAGAAAATGTTATGCTTTGTGGGCACTTCTTACTTACACACTCTCATCCTACAAAATCACTTTCTCTATCTGTTCAATCTGTTCTACAATCAGGTGATATGAAGGAAGATGAGACATTCCAATAACTCTTTTCCCAGGACAGGTATGAGCTAGAAGTTTTCCACAATATTGCAGCTGCATATGTCAATATGAGTGGCACAGAATGGCAGAGAATTTGGCGAGTGACAGTGGTCTTTCCCCTTGCAGTTGTGGGGGCCTTGATGTTTCCTTGTGCAAAAGTGAAAAAGCTAAGTTCGTTTCACGGAACTGGTGAATGTACATTTTCAAGTTGTAAGCTGAAAAATGCCCAATGAGGAAGGGGAGCAGATTTAGCCAGAGGACTGCAGAATGGGACTTTGTTCTGGATTGCACAAATTAATTTTGCAAATCCCTGAGACCACATGAAATGTCTTCAAGTATCAGAAGGAAATCTTTGATTCTATTATTTCGCAGAAGGAGCTGGCTTCTTATCTCTTCGAGCAGTGTTCCAATGGCATCATTATTATCATTGCACCAAAAGTAAATGTTGCCTGAGAAACTTCTTTCATCAAATGGGAGGCCTGACATAAGCCCCACTCTCATTTAGACCGAGTCTAGAATTAGATCTTTGCTCCTGAGCTCCAGCATAGGATTAACTGCATTGTTTTGCACTGTTTTGTTTAATCAAGATGTTGAACTGATAAAGTGGATGATGTCTGTCTCTGATGGGTCATAGAAATCTTCCAGTTGGAAGAAAAATGGATTGTTGCATCAGAAATGAATACCAGGTTCTGGCCCCTCAGATCTCTTGGGTGTCGCCTCGGAACTCAATTGCCGAGCGTGTTGCGAACCGTGTTGCTTTTAGACGTGCTAGTTGAGGCTCTTGACCAGCTCATGTCAAGAGAGGAACTTCTGAATTCTGTGAATAAGCAATGGCAACTTGTCTAAATGATCCTATGATTGAGAAACCATTTTTGTTCATTCAAATTAGGGCATTCATTAGGATGAGGTACTTGAAGGTAGAATGTGCAACAAGAGCAGTGGCATTTTAGGTGACGATGTTCGACGGCATAATCTGGCCCAGGAACGCTCGACTGTGGTTTCATTTCTTTCTCCCAATTCTCCTGGAGAGTCATCAACAAAATATCGCTTCATGATGAAGTAAATCTTATATGAAATACCGATTGAGTTTCCCTGCTGGTGTGATGCTGTGCCGGAGAAATTGTCATGTGAAGGAACTGAAAAAAACTTTCAAAATTTTAAAGGTGGAATTTTAAGGCCTCTCAGATATCATGGTCAGAACTTGTCAAAAGTGAAAGTCAAGAGTGAAAAGCTCAAGCTTCATCCCATAAGGAAGTCAAATTGAGTTTCTCTGACCGCCATGGATCTTTCTTATGACTTGTAATTCCTTGGCAAGCACCCTACCCTTATAAAATTACTGTGAAATTTTGGTCAAACATTTCTTTTTTTTAATGTGAGGAAACATCCCTCATCACTTGAATATCTTTCTCATTCTTTTTCATAATTGAAAGAGCCTGTCCAATTCCTTCTTCAAGAGACTGGCCACGTAGAAAGTTCTTTCTACGCTCACAAAATAGTGCCGCTGTCAGCTCGTGGCTGGAGACTCAGGTTTGAAAACCAATCAAGTCGGGCAATTATTTCTTAGTGCAATCCCTGGGTGTTTGGAAAGTGAAAGATGATGGCATTCTGTTATGAAGGTCCACCTTCCAAATATCCCATTTTCTGTTGCTGATCTCTTTGCGTGGGATGTTAAGAGTCCCTTTTTGTAAAGTTGACACACATGTGACGGATGATGACCTTGAAATTGGGAACTTGCTTTTGAAATTTGTTTTTAAGGTCTGGCTGCTTTGATGAGCTTGCCTTGAAAAATTACTGCAGGAAACTGTTTGAGCATTGCCTAATTTATTTGCATTTGTTTGCTGTTTTCTATTGGCAGCTATACCATCGGCATGCTGCTGTGGAGAAGGTCAGGGTCACCCGATCCCATTCTCATCGATGCACACATCCAGGCATTACTTATCGATCCGCAATCCCAAGAGGTGACTTCTGACCTTCCTCTCTTGGGGGAGACGAGAAGGGGCTCTGGGGCCTTTTGTCAAACCTGAATGCAAATTTCCTGTTTGTGCAGTTGGTGGAGAAGGTGCTGGAAGGGAGCGGACTGTTTGGACGGGGAGAGATCCCCCTTTCGCAGGATCTTCCCTGGGATCTTCGAGGCTCCCAGTCACAGCCGAGGACCGAAGGGCATGACCAGGCTGCACTCTTGGCCTTGAATCATGCCCTTGAGCAAGGTCATCTACCCAGGGCATGTCTCTATGCATGGAGTTATGGCCTTCAGTCTGAGGTCTGTCTGAGAGATTTTCATCTTGACACAGCAACTTTTCTGGGAGTGAAAGAAGTGTAGTATTTTTGCATTCACATATGGAAAACGCTTTGCTTGAATCTGTGGAGATTCATTCATTCCAGTGCTGATGAGAATTGCCTGGCTTCAATTTAGGCAATTCAAGTCTTATTAGCTACACTCTAGTCATTAGGAAAAGGAGCCTTCTATGATAACAGCCATAAAAGAGAAGTATTTTCTCTTGCCAATGCTTGTTGCAATTCAGGGGAATGTGAGTTTGGTGTAGAACTTGAGGACTAGTGTTTCTTTTATTATCTGAACCAAATAGGAGCTGGAGGGGTTGGTAGAGGCAGTGAAGGAAGCCGAGGCAGAGCGGCCTATCCCTCAACTACTAAGCAAAGGAAGGATCTTGGAAGCCATCAATGTTGGAGCTCGGGCTGCCCAGGCATTACATATACCATATTCTGTATGTTTTTCCCTCTTTCCCCCTTCAATCTTTCCTCCCAGCTTCTACTTACTGCATCTCATGCAATTGTGTTGATAACTCTGTGCATTATTTTGATGTATCTGTCAGGGTGAGAGTTCCATCAGCATTTATGGGAGTACCATTTCTTAAAACTTCCCAAAATTTTAAAGGAATTCATGGATTGTGACAAATTTGAAGCATATATTCAGCTTAAAAAGAAAACTATAGGGATCAGGAATATATTTCAGTGCTTTAGAGGTGAATAGACTTGCTTAGAGAGGCCTGGAAACATGTACTTTTCTCCTGCTTCCTTCTGTATTTTTCCTTCCTTGATGATCCCTAATGATCCCTGGTGACGAGTTCAATTTATAAACTTTTTCAACACTCATCAGGAATTGGTGGAGGAGTCCCGTGGTTCGCCGAACGTCATCCTCGCTCGGCTCCTGGAGCAGGAGGAGTTTGGACTGGCTGGAGGGTTTGTGCGAGCCCTCACTCTTCCCCCCAGCGTTGTCAATCATGCCCTTCATCTTCAGATCGTCTTGTTTGCCTCTCTCTCGCAAGGTCTTCTTCCCTTTCTGAGCTGATTCTGCCTGTTATGTGTTGAGGTGTAGCCATACTTGATCAATTGACTAATACCAATGAGTATTAATATGGGTGTTGAGTAGCATTGGTGATGGAAGCTGTGAAATTAAATTGTATTTTGAAGAGTACAACTTAGACTACTAAGCAAAGGAAGGATCTTGGAAGCCATCAATGTTGGAGCTCGGGCTGCCCAGGCATTACATATACCATATTCTGTATGTTTTTCCCTCTTTCCCCCTTCAATCTTTCCTCCCAGCTTCTACTCACTGCATCTCATGCAATTGTGTTGATAACTCTGTGCATTATTTTGATGTATCTGTCAGGGTGAGAGTTCCATCAGCATTTATGGGAGTACCATTTCTTAAAACTTCCAAAAATTTTTAAGGAATTCATGGAATGTGACAAATTTGAAGCATATATTCAGCTTAAAAAGAAAAATATAGGGAATATTATTTATATATTTATATACAGGAATATATTTCAGTGCTTTAGAGGTGAATAGACTTGCTTAGAGAGGCCTGGAAACATGTGCTTTTCTCCTGCTTCCTTCTGTATTTTTCCTTCCTTGATGATCCCTGATGACAAGTTCAATTTATAAACTTTTTCAACACTCATCAGGAATTGGTGGAGGAGTCCCGTGGTTCACCAAATGTCATCCTCGCTCGGCTCCTGGAGCAGGAGGAGTTCGGACTGGCAGGAGGGTTTGTGCGAGCCCTCACTCTTCCCCCCAGCGTTGTCAATCATGCCCTTCATCTTCAGATCGTCTTGTTTGCCTCTCTCTCGCAAGGTCTTCTTTCCTTTCTGAGCTGATTCTGCTTGTTATGTGTTGAGGTGTAGCCATACTTGATCAATTGACTAATACCAATGAGTATTAATATGGGTGTTGAGTAGCATTGGTGATGGAAGCTGTGAAATTAAATTGTATTTTGAAGAGTACAACTTAGTTTTACATAGTTTTCCTCAGTTACTTCACTTGACTCAGTTTTACCCACTAAAAGGAAATGAAGCAGACATGTTTCAATCTAGTGTGAGAACTGAAATCATGCTCTGCTGGGGAGCTCAAAGAATGCCAACAGACTCCATCTGGCTTGTTGACCAATGTTGCTGCCATGTTGTCCCTTTTCCCTTGTGGTTGTGAATGTTAACTTGGAGTTCCTAGCACAAGCATGATTTTTTCACATCTTCATGCATCTCTCTTGAAAGATATGAGGAGGTAAGGCCAACCCGACTGGCATAGGTACAAGTTTATATTTTAGGAAAATTTCTCTGTGAAAAAGAGAACTCAGAAGGAACCAAACCGAAATAGAACTTCATATTTGGGTTACTCACTTCAAACATTTTCTATAACCCATGAAGGCATGTGCTTATTTATAATGTCATTTTCCATAAGCAGACTGTTAATTATGTGATCTGTGTTCCTCTTGGAAAGTATTCCTTATCTGCATATTTTATCTCTTTTTTTTTTTTTCCATCCAGGGCTTGACGAGGATGGGGAGGAGAAATTGGAGTCGCTGCTTCGCCTGTCCTCGGATCCCCTCGGTCTCGGGGAGAGCCTGCTGGGGGAGGCCCATGACACCCTGGCTGGAGACGCCAAGACGAGCGTGGGGCTGACCATCGCAGCCAGCCGGTGCTTCATGCGGGTCTGCTCCATCGAGGGGCTGTCGGCCGTCCTCCGCCTCTCCCGCTCCATCGCTGCTAAGCTTGCCGCTGCTCAGCTCTGGTCTCTTATGGTCTGAGTTCTCTGAATCTCCATTGTATTTGTCCTTCAGCCCATCTTTTGTTCTTATGCTGCTAATCTTTTTGTAATGATTCATTCATAATTTCTTTTCAGCATTGGGTCCCATCAATCTCTTAGAAACTTTTCAGTAATGGGTTATGTAATATGTAACTGTGAATTTTCCAACTTGCTTGAGTAGCTTACTGGTGATGTGCTGATTTTCAGCCAGAACATCTTTTAATTTATGAGGATTTATGAGGAAGCTCATAAAATTAAGTTGAGAAATGTATTATTTTGAGAGATTGGAAGAATTTACAATGTTGTACTGTTAGATAACCATGATTTCTGATTCCTCAACATCAATTCTAGCAGTTCATTGAAATTGTGTTATTGAATTCAGAAAAAATTGGAATTCACTTCATGTGATTGATTCTAACACTATCAAATCAACTTGATGTTCAGTAAAATTCCTCCTTGTCAGAGCAAAAAAATTTTTCCACTGATCCATTGTCAGCAATTGTGAGTGATCATTCTTGTAACTTGAGGAATACCTGGATTTGCAGGTACAACTGCTGATCGGTGTGGGGAGATTCACAGAGATGTCTTACATCTATCAAATCTTGAGGGAGAACCAACAGAGTGAAGTCCTCCTGCGGCGTGGACTTGAGAAGGTCCTGAGTCCCGCATTAATCTCTTTCAGTGATGGGCAATTTGCAAGTTGACTGAATACTAATTTAAATTGTGACTGAATTCTTTAAAGATTCTTGGAAGATCAAATTTGATAGATGTTTGGGTCGTATTAGATTTGTATGTTCATTTGATTAAAAATCTTTCCAAAATTTGTGCGACCTGCATACTTGCTTTCAATTGTTTGGATCGTGCAGTCTTTTTTTTTGTAGAGTGTGACCTAAAGTGATCCGTGAAAATCAGTGATCTGGTCTGTGATTTTGATTTAATTTTTGAAGCACGGAAAAGCTTTGGGGGTTGGCAACCCAAGCCAAGTTTGTCTTTAAAAAGGATTTAAATATTTTTACTTCTGGTGTCGGTTTGAAAATTTCCAATCACTGTTCTGAGCACAGACAAAATGAAGTTGAACTGGATGCGACTTGCAGCACGGTGGGCTGAGGACGTCCTTGTTGGCCTACGTGAAGCGAGAGTGTCCCGGGGACCACGACCTATACCAGCTGGTCGCCCTCACGTTCCTCCTCTACCGGGAAGTGTCTCAGAGCTGGGAGGGCGAGGGGATCGGGAAGATCTCCCAGCTGATGAGCCGCAAGAGCCTGCTCAACGATGCCCACTCCAAGTCCCTCCTCAATGCTGCCCTCAGCTCTTTCACCCATGCTGCAGAGTACTATGTCCAGGTCTGTTGGATTCTTTTCTCTTTTTTTTTTATTTACTGAACTTGGTTTTTTCAGGCAAGGTATTATTTTTTGTGAGCAACTTTGCCAGTCCATTGGTAGGAGTTTGTATCTGTCATCCAGCATTTTGTAAACCCTTGTATATTAGACATGATTGAAAGAAAGTCTGGACTAGATGTAGTGAAAGTTTTGTTTTTCAAATATCTGCTATAATGGTATGCACATTTACACACCCACATGCACAGTTTGTGCCACATGTGGTGTCAGATATCAAGTATAAGTAAGCTATCACAGAAAATCCAAGAACCATCGTTTAGAGTTGGTTTTTTTTTTGTGAAAGGATATGTGAAGCGATGATTCTGGCTTGAGTTAATGGTTCAGCATTCATTATATGTATAAACATTTGTCATATCTATTATGTTTTATATATAGTGTACAAATGAATGCGTTACTGTCATGGTTAACCATGCTTGGGAACTGCCTCTCTGCCCAAACTTTGATCCATAGACCAAGGCTAGTGTAGTAACGTCATCGTAATAAGTTCCATAATAAATTCAGCATTAAAAATGGCAATTCTGTTGAAGTTTAAAATCTGTGAATTGATTTCAGGAACAAGTAATCAAATTGTGAGCTTTCGGTGCCTGATATTGAAATAGTTAGTGGTACTTGATGGTAGAACTGCATTTGAAGGAGAAGACAGCATTTTATTCATGAAAACCCATTCAGAAAAACCTAAAAATTTGGTATGAGATAGTTTGAAACATTGAGTACTTTGGCGATTATGCACGCTTTATAAATTTACAATGTGGATATTTCGCATTGCGGTTAATTTGAAATTCCAGGTCCAATCTGGTCGTGTGAGCTGTAGGCTCGTAGAACCATGTTCATTTACTTTGAAGAGCATTACTTTCCATCCCAAACCCTTGCATTCTAAGTGGCTGCAAGGCCAGCTAATTGCCATCTGAGGAACTTCGCTTTATTCAGAAGAACACTAAACAGACTATCACCCCTTTATATTCCCGCTCCCCTTTGTGATGAATAATTTTTGTTCCCTGTTGACCTAGTAACATCGCCTACATAACTTAGAAGGGTTGATTATTGTTCAAGTTATTAGCATGATTACTGTAGTGTAAATACTAGAAATGGAATTGGGTTTTCCTCTGTGTTTGCTTGCTCTGCGTTTTGCTTTATTTCAGTATTATGGGTTTCCTTTATTCCACACAGTTTTATTTCAGTCAAGGGATGTCTGGGTTGAAGTAGGTAATATAAAGTTGTGAAAAAAATGGGATAATTTGAACCTGTTCTTTTTTTTTATTTCTGCATTTTTTCCCCCCCTGAATTTTGAAATAATGAGGTTTTCATGTAGTGGGATGCTGTGGTACCATAAGAACAGATAAGAGGTACTGTATACCACATTTTGAAATACTGGATGAAAATTTCCTGCTTTTGTGTGTGGATGTCATGCATATTTTTATGAGTTCTGGGAGATGGCAGCTTGACAGGAATGTAGGATTAAAATTGCAATCCTGTATGTGAAGACAGGGTTCAATTAAGCCAGTTACTGTGGGATTGCCATACTCCAGGGGATGTGTGAGCTTTTGGAAAATTTCTTTTCTCCATCCCATTCCCCTCAGATCATGAAGATCTATTGCTCCCAATTCCTGCCTTTCTAGGGAACACTTTCTCATTTATTTTTTACAACCAGCAAGAAGCAGAAACTATGGCATTTGAGCTTTTCCACAGTCCAAGTGATGTAAACCCGAGTTGTTTGCACGCAGGCGGAGTACCTATCAAAAGCGATGGAATGCTCGTCACAGGCCTGCCTTGTGGCCTTGCAGCTGAACCTTCTGAACAGGGTGGCGGTCGACGGCGTCGCTCCGTGCGTGTTGCGTCTTCAACCGGACAAGTTCTTGGCCGTTCTCACCGCCCCGCGTCTTCTTAGGTACGGTTTCAGGGCATCAGGGTTTCCACAGTTTCCGAGGGTTTGAAATGAATCTGAATTTAATTTCAGGGCATGAGGAGAAAAATTGTGTTCTTGGATATGTTTTCCCCCCCTGATCCAATGTTGACTAGTACATGTAGGGTGGTTAGAAAAAAAAACTACCATTTTCTATGGGCAAAACATAGTTTCATAAATGTAGAAAAAAATAATTACATTGGATACATGATCGATATTTGACATTTACAAGGTGTTGAAATACTAGCCACTTTTTTTCAGCGCCCCTGCCTAAGTCATGCATTGCCCATTTAGAGGTGAATTAAAGGTGCTTAGAGGCGAATCATTCCACTTCAAGTGAGGTGATTACCTGTGCTCAACCGCCTCAGAATTCAATGAATTTTTCAACTTTAACTTTTCAAGGGACAGTAGTATCCAGCTGAAACTTGACTGAGAGGTTAATGAGTCTAGGAGGTTTTTTCCACTTCCACAAGATGGCACTGTATCCCAATAGAGCACACTGCTGTTGACCGAGTGACCAAGGGAGATTTTAAAAAAGGTGTAATACTCCACTTGTAAACTGTGTAACAGGACAATACATGGCTCAGAGAATTGTTCAGAAAAAAAAAGAAGACAGTCCTATATGTCCAATATCAAGAGTTTATGAATCTCATTTTTTATTTGAATACACGAATTGTACTTTCTCCCCTTTAAAAATGGTGGAGCTTTTTTCTTAATCACCCTCGGTCACCCAATCGACATCAGCGATCAGCAGTTTTTCATTATGACGGTGGCGTGTGTGCAGCTTCCGCGAGGCAGAGCTGGCGTCCCAGGCGTACCCTTGCCACGCGGTCGACTGGAGCCTGGTCCTGTTCCATCAAGTTGTCGTTCATGGAGACCAGAATTATTTGAAGGACTTTGTCAAGTCGCAGCCTCTGCATGCTTCCCTCATGCATGGGATCACCAATCGGTGCGTAGTTGTCTTCGACATTTTACGAGGCTAACCCTTGTGGTGCGTTTGTCTCCATGCAAGCTCAAATGTGTTGCAGGGCACTGGCCGAGGGAGAAATCTCGGAAGAAAGGAGGAGGAACGTGCAGTTCCTCTTGGACCACTGCGACGACATGGAGGCAGTCCTCCGGGCCCACCGCGATCTCAATCTTCCTCGGACGTTTGGAAATTCCGATCCCGACCTGGCTTACTTCCGTGACCTGGGCCTTCTTTAGGGCCTTCTCGCGGATAAAGGTCGGAGCACTCTCTTTCACTCTAATTGCTCTTTGATTCTATGATGGAGCATGTGCCCCTTTTGCAGTGTTTACCAAAATGTGTGATATAATGTACTTCAATGCAAGTTTCATGTGATTATATTTTTTTAAATGCATTTCGAATACAACATGTTCCATCTATTCCTCTATTGTCTGGGTATTGATTTTTCTTCCCACCTTTCAAACGAGTGAAAGTGGGAAGCATGGTTTCACTCTCTCAAACATGCTGGTACGAGGAGCATGCCAAAACTTTTGCGGCTGTTGTCATGACTCTTGACTAGAGTTTTTTATTTTTATGCATGCTCCACTTTCTTTTGTAGAGCTTCATGAACTGTGCAATGCATTAAATGCATTCAGGTAGACAACATTGAGTTATGGCAATTTGAAAAAGTAAAAACTTTGAAACTTGTGCCAATTCATTTTGCATAGGGGGTCAGAACAGAACAAAACAAATAAATTTTGAACGCATTTATCAGCATCATCAGGGAGCATTTCTCTTCGACCATTTTTTGCATTTTGAATCAACAGCCATGGATCAAATCAATGCCTCATCTGCCATACAGTCCAGGTCTGGTTCTGTGTGACTTTGCATCCGAGCCCGAAGGGAGCCGTGTGGCCGACTCCTGTGAAAAACTGATAGGTGCAGCGAAAGGTGTACTCGAAGGCTTCAGTGAGGGCTGGTAGTGGTAATGGCAAAAAATCAAGTGCATTGGCTGAAATATGTGAAGTTGAGAAGTGATTGTATGGGAGGAGAGGCGCTCCTTGATGGTGACGATTGACTGAGTTCATGCATTTTAGCTCAACTTAATTTTCATAACTCGGCAATGCTGCATCGTAGTCCTGCATAATCACTTGTACAGTTTTCTGAGCTTCACGAAATAATTCTAAGCGCTCATTAGCAACAAGCAGTGTCATCATGACATCAATCTCAGAGGGCTCTATACATATCTCGCATGTTCCAAAGATTGCGGAAAACTGGATATTGGGTGAAGAAATCTTAATCAGGCCAATGAGTTTCGTTTTTGTTGGTCATGGAAGCATCGCTTGTGAAGTAATTGATCGGGTTCGTAATTCCGAAAGTCGCTTCTATATGTATATCCTCTAAATTCCCTGCCGAAATGTTTTATGATATTCCAGCTGCTGCCTTTGCCTTCTCTCGCCAGTTACGAGGGCCACACATACAGGTTTGACAGGAATCCTGATGGGTTCAGAAAAAGAGGTGAATTATCAGGAACTACGATGCAGCATT